TGCGAGGTTGATAAGGGTGAAAATTAGCAGGCATACATGATTCAAGGCCGAAAGACATGGCTTCTGAATTAATAATGCTGGGACTAGGAACAGTGGCTAAGGAAGGCCTTACTGAGGACGTACATTGGTTGGGCAGATTTAATGTAGTATTTGATGTTTCTGGTATAGTATTAAGTGCAGTAGTCATGTTCAAGTCATAAGAACCACTGGCATCATCAAAATCAATCCCCATTTGAGAAAGCTGAGAAGGGTGCAAAATCCCTTGTCCTCCAGGCAGACACATCGGGTGCAAACTCACTCCATTCCTCATTGATAGCATCTAATATTTCATTAACAATAAGATTTGTAGAAAGTGAGTACCAGTACTCTATAAGTGAATCAAAATCACTCCACAATATTGCTCAAATTACTAATTGTGATGGAAAGAACACAAAAAAATGATGTTGATAACCTAGCTAAGATAATCTATCTAGCAAACAAATAGTCTGTATAGGAGCCTAATAGGAGTGTAGTATCTTAGTTAACCATATATATTGTTCTACATTAAATGCATTCGAATACATACAATTTGGCTATGATCTCAAGCTTAAATGATTTATATTATATGAAGATAAAAAATAATCTATCTCCTAATCAAGCCTAGGTAATGATCTTCAGAAGGAGTTCAAAGTTCAATGTATCAACAAGTCTTTCCACACACCCAAGTCAAGAACCAACAAAAAAAGGTCATCAGAGAAGGAGAGAAAGATAAAAACAAGTCTTCGACAAAGGGTATAAGCTGCATTCAATGCATAATTTGAAACTACAATGAATAAGTTGAATATCAGGCTATCAGTACCCCCCCGAATACAAGATGACAGCACATGGCCACACCTCTAAGTCTCAATTCAGTTTCCTGGAAACCGGGGTATGTTACAGGAGAAGATTATTTGATTTATAACCACCGAAATTGATGAATTTGTTTTCTTCCTGCCTGTTGCATTGGCAAATGGCAATTATTGCAGAGTCATCCTAACAGCATACATGGATGACCCTAGCTTACTAGTATCCCTAACAAGCCAAGTTTGTTTTAGCGTCATTCTCGAGCACACCAAGTTATTAATATCGAATTTTAAATTTGCAGATATTTAAATTGTTTACAAGGTATACAACTTTTGGTCAAAAACTAGCAATTTACCATCAATGGGTTAAGAATTTGATACCATGAACAAATTCATCTAATCAGGAAACAAAATGGCCATAATTGAAGAGACTAAGATCACATCAGTTACATGAGGTTGCCATTCAAATAAAGATAGGGTATTATAAAGGGGTAAATAAGCAGAATTTATGCTAAGTGATTCGCGTAATTAATAATTAAGTCTTGGACTAGTGGTAAAATAATACTCGTAAATATCAGAACCCATATGTCCTACTCTAAAATCTCCAATGCTAGCCTTTTGTACCTAGTTTGAACGGTGAAGTGACACCGACTTTATCAAACTTTATCATCTAAAAGATTTCACATGACTTTTGAAATTTTACTCAATATGCCAAAAATCATTCTCCCACTTCCATTTGTAATTTGTATTGCTCTTGTGGCTTATCCGTATCCAAAAAAAAAATTGTACACATACCAATGCCATAAATTAAAATGATTGAATTCCATACCTGAACTTGCAATTGAAGCTGCTTCAGATATTCAATCGCTTCATCCAGCATTGATGCCTTATCCGTCTACTCTCCAAATTCATTTCCAAACAAAATACAAGTATTTATTAAATTTTTCTAAATAATAAAAACAAATAATAAAATAAAAGGATATTAAGGGAAATTCACCTTGTTAGAATTAGGAATTAAACTTTGCAACGCTTTCATCTTCTCATTTATCCTGCTCCTCCTCCTCTGTTATTAATTACTCATTATTAACAAATTAATTATCCCAACTAATATTACAGTAAGTACATAAAATTAGGTTTCATAAATCTTGAATTTAAAATTAAAAGAAAAAAAAACCTTTTCGGATAAATTATGAACTTCAGCAGCTCTACTTCTCTTAGACTGATTTCGCAATTGCTGTTGTTTCGTCTCCCCCTCTTCCACCGCCACGTCATTTCCTTCCTATTTTTCAAACAACAAATTCACACAAATTACAGTAAAAATAAATAAAAGTTTTTAATTAAAATATTACCTTCGTTTCTTATTAATTGTAATAAAGGAATTTTGTGTGTCTCGCAAATAATAACCGTTGTTGCAATAGGAAACGAGGTAGTAAAATGATTTCGTTTTGTAAAAACCTCGCTTTCGCAGTCATTATCTTCAGGAAAATCGTTATAGTCGAAGCTTTTTAACTGAACCGAACCGGAAAGTGACTCAGAAGACAAATTCGAACCAGCAGGAACAGGAAAACCCGTCGTAGAAGGAGGTAAAACGACGCCGTTTTCAGGAGAGATCCGGTTAACAGCAAGCCGGTCTGAACCAGAGAAAACAGCAGATGGACCGGCAGAAATATTATTAAAAAGAGTACTAAAAGAAGGGAGTTGATCCGCTGCATGCGACCTCATGATAGTGGGAGATGAGGAAGCAGAGGTTAACGGTTGATTTGGTGATGATGATGAAGAAGATGAACGGTGGAGGATTTGCCGGAGGAAAAGGGAGATATCGTCGGGTTGTTCTTGAGGAGGAGCTGAGGAGTTGTTTGCGAATACCATGTTTGAATTTGATTTTAGGAGTTTGGGGTTTGAGAAGGGGAGAAATGAAGTGGTGTTATGGAGGGAGGAAGCATTAATTGTAGAAATTGTGTTGGTTAAGTTTTGTGTTTTCGTATAATAGGAGGTGCAACTTTGTTAGAGGGGAATACAGAGTTTTGAGCTTAATGCAGAAATTGGTGACGATATATTGTGGAAGTGGGGGCGGCTGTTTAATTTTTCTTTGTTTTTATCCTATAGACTCGTATACTGTAGTGGCAAACAGCAAACAGCAAACAGCAAACGAATGTCTGTTGAGCTCTTGATAAGAGAACTAAAAATGAAAATATTAAAATAAAATTATTATTAATTATACTGATTGACACATGATTTTATCATGTATTCTTAATGTTTGATTTTAAGTAGTATATTAATTAGTTATCTAATGTCCCGAACACTCATTAGCAAGATCCATATTAATTTACTTAGTAATTTTGTTATACTAGGTAATTTTTATCAATATGTAATTAAAAAAACGTTTTGATAAATGTGCCGGACAAAGTGATGCATTAAATAAAAAAAAACACAAAGAGAGCATATTCTTTAAACAAAATATATATAAAAAAAACATACTTGATATTGTTATGTAAAATACTTTTGGATTAATTTTACGGAGTATGTATTTTCATTATACCAACCTTTTATTCTTCTAAGTAATACTTCGCATATAATTACAAATAGTAGTGGTCAAAATAGTACTTGCAGTAAAATAGTATGTAAAATACCTGTAAGACTTGCTTTAATGGTCAAAATTATTACGAAGGAAGTAATTTTCTAAAACTGAAGTAAATAGGTATCCATGGGAGTACAGACCTTGTTAATTTACTGGTAATGTCAATCTCGAGCTTTGAACTACACGATTTTGTGCTCCACACGTGAAGCACACATACACTGTTTGTTTCATTATAATTCTACAACATTCTAGCGGGTGTTCTTATTTTACTCGTAATATACTTGGTATTTATACGGAGTATAATTGCAATGAGTATTTGAGTGAGCTTATTTATTTATGTGCTGGGTGAGTACAAGACAAGAAATGAAAATTATACTCTTCTGTAGGTGGCTGAGCTAGTCCTTCAATTATGAACATTTACGAATTGAAGTATTGAACTACTCTATGTCTCTCTTTTTATGATTGAGGCCCTCAAAAACTTGTAGGTCTTGTACTCCGTATTTGGTGTATAAAAATTTAAAAAAAAATAAAATTAGAGGAGAGTATTAAGTGAGACCCAAAATAATAACAAACTAAACCTTGAGAACTTTATTAATTAGTTAATTTACTATACTAAATTAATACGGAGTACTTCACATATGGGTACAACCTAAGATTGATCCAAAAAAAAAAAAAAAAAAAAAAAAAAAAAAAAAACAAGCTACCTATCTATAGCAGATAGGTGGAAAAAAAAAACTAGTAGCATCTTTAAACACTAGGAAATCAAAATCATGAAGGAGATAGAAAATTGGCACCCCTACTATTAACTGCCCAATTGCTTCATATGGGTAGACAACCAATTGAAGGAGCTTTAGAGTACAATATTGTTACCGAAATTGTGTATAAAATTATTGATCAAAATATTTATGCTTTCTTTATTGGGGAGGAGGACTATTTGTTGTACATTAAGAGGTTTTTTTTTTTTTTTTACAATTACGGAGTAAAATATTTCAAATTCTCTTTTGTTTCAAATTAATTACTCCATTTCGTTTTTATAGTCAAAATTTCATCAAAATTGACCATAAATTAATTAACATTATCCTTTTGAATAACACTCAAATACTCGTGCATAAAGTCCATAGAAGTTCACGAGAGGAATAAAATCATCCAATTGTTTAGTTTTGAAATAGTTTTAGCAAATAATAAACTAGGGTACCAACAATAGAAGGTTTTTTCACTAGTACATAACTAACCTTAAGTAACTCCCAAAAAGTGTTACAAGTGGTAAAAGTGTTATTATAGACAATAGGTAACACTTTAGTGGGTGATACATCCGCCCATGTTACCTAAGGTCTTATGTAACACTTTGGGTAGCGTATGGTAACACTTTTAAAAGTGTTACTATAAACCCTCTTATGTTACACTTTTTAATACTATTAGTATCATTTTTAAAGTGTTACTTTTTATTTATGTATCACTTACTCGTTTTTAGTAACATTTTTCAATAATACAGTAACACTTTATCCGACATTATGTATCGCTTTTGCGAACTAATGTAACACTTTGTTGACTATTAGGTAACATTTTTTAATCATCTTTTGACGTATAGTTTCACTATATTCGACATTATGTATCACTTTTTACAAATTAATGTAACACCTTATTAATTAATAGGTAATATTTTTTTATTATATTTTTTTTGTGCCACATATTATTATTATCAAAACCAGCTTAGGGCACCAGTTTTGAACCCGTGCCTTTTTGGGGGTTGCCCATGGCAGAGGTTATGGACACCGGTTCAAAGGTCTTTAAGGGCACCAGTTTTCCCCTTAATCCGATGCCCTTTATGCCTGAAAAAAATCGACAAACAAATTTAGATATTTTTATTAATAAATGCTTGTAGTGTTACAATTTCATCAAAAAAATATAAAAAATAAATAAATTACAATGCTTAAGGCTAGGTAGCAGTAAAGCACAACATAAGTAGCAACAGTGCTGAACTAGGCCATGATCATTCACAGTCTCCTCAGCTCCTTCCTCTGCTGCCTCCCTTTTTGCGAGTACTGACTGTTGGGATGGGAGTCACATCCTCAGTACAAAGTTCGTCAAATAAAATGGAAATGCTAAGCACACTTAAACAAAAAGTTCATTAATTATTCACAACAATCTCAGTTATGAAAATCTACAATTACCCATAGTATAAGAGTTTGTAAGTTCACTATAATCTCAGTTAAAGTTCAGAATGACAACAACAATTAAGAATGAAAATTTTTCACCTTTATAGCTTCCCAAGTTTTGTTAGTAGGTTGGATATAGGGTTGTTGTGTGCTGCAAAAAAAAAAAAAAAAAAAAAAAAAAAAAAGGAAATTAAGTTAGAAGCCCAATTAAAGGATGAAAAAGTATAAAACATAACACCTTGACCAAGTCATTTACTCTTGCTGATATAATGCCAAGTATAAGAGGCAAGATGAATTCGAATATACCCTTTCAAGATTATAATTTCTAAATTGGTCAATGGATAGTCCAGAAACTGATCTAAAAGGAAGAGACTTAGGTTCAAGAACCACGTGACAAGCATTGATTGAGATCATACTTCACGCCACTCTTTCGCGAGCCCCTGCTGTTCGTGTGCTTAATAGCCATTGTTAAAGAGCTCAGATAATCATTTAAGAGAGAAAGTGAGAGATAGAGGTGAGTGGATTGAGAACAATCAAGGGAATATACTGGCGTACATTCTTAGAAGAATATCTCAATAATGGGAGGCTTTTCTAAGCATTGCCACCAATTTAGAAACAATTGAAACCAAGCCAAACTAGAAAATCCCATAAAACTTTAGAGTTCAGGAACCCATATGTTAATGTGAAATAATAGATTCTAAACCTAGCCTCTGAACCAAGCCCGGCCAGACATAACATTGATCCGGCAACCAACATACACCTCACAACCGACATTCAACAACCATTTATCCTAAATCAGTTTCTGTATAGTATCAATACAAGCTTATACATGCATCAATTAAATTACATAAATCATGGCTTCTAAATCATCACATCATTTCGTAGTAGTATTATGATAATATCAAGAATGCATCCACTCAAGTTCCAAATATTCAACATTCTTAAACAATTTCATCTACAACACTCAAAATTCTATAAATTAAAAAAAAAAAAAAAAAAACAATTTCAAGCTTGATTGCGCTACGCAATGTAAAAAATCAGAGCACAAACAACATTTAATAATGAAAATATGCAAACATATTACAAATCAGGTTAATTTCGAAAATGCGAATCACTGAACAATAAATCAAATACTCCGAAAATTATCAAATTTCAAACGCAATTAGAACAGGAGAAGAAATCTAACCGATAAAATTCGAACAGGAGAAGAAATCTAAACGCAATTAGAACAGGAGAAGAAATCTAACCGATAAAATTCGATGGATTTTTGCTAATATTGTGGAAATTGAAGAGTGAGAATGAAAATTAGGATATGTTGAGTGAAATTGAGGAGAGAAGGAGGGATTTCCGGCAGCAGCAGTAGTTGCATCATACGAAGACAGCGTTTTCAATGGCTCGTCGTCTCTTCTTTGCCGCCGAATTGATCTCGTCAGCCGTATTTTTGGTTGTTTTCTTGCGGTTTGATAGTTCGATTGAGTCGAAGCTAGGGTTTGGGTTTGGTTGTTGAGTTCTTGTTAAGAAGCTAGAGTTTGGTGAGGAGTAAGGATCTAAAAATTGGGGTAAAATTTCAGAGAGATTTTGAGCCTCTCCATTGATGAAGAAGATGGAAAGTGTGAATTGCAGAGATGGATGGAGAAAAGAGGGAAAAGTGAAAGAGAGGATCGGAGAGAGAGAGAGAGTTAGGCAATTCAAGGGTCGTTTTTTTTTTTCTTCTTTTTTATTTTTTTGACAAATACATGAAAGTGTTACTCTATGTAAAGTGTTACTTTGAAGTGTTACATACAAGTGCTACCTATTATCTAAGTGTTACAAAAGTGCTACCTAAATATCTATTTATATCTTGACTTATAAAGTGTTACCACAAGGTGTTACATTAGGCCAACTTTGTAGTAGTGAATTTGATGGGTTTGTGACAACTTTTTAGAGGTTTGTCAACAAATCTTTTATTGATAAACAAAGGTTCATGGGAAGAAGTTTGTTTTTACAAACCGGTTTGCAATTGCTTGCAAATGATTTACAAGTTGCCAAGTGTATTAGCTGGACCTACTTGTTGAATTTTCTTTATTTTTTGTTTTGATGAATTTAATGAATTATATGGACAGTGGGTCTCATGCATAGAACATGTTTATCTATTGTTGATAGAGTAATAGGTTTGTTAGGTGAGGAGTTTGTATGATAATGATGTGGCAAGTTAACAAACCCTTTAGAGGTTTGCTCCATTGCTATCGCCTTTATAATCTGTTCGTTCGATAGATAACTAGAAATATTATAATAGAGGGTGTTTGTTTAGAGGGATAGAAGAGGGGGGATGGGATAAAAAAGGAGGGATTTAACAAGTCTTTTGTTTGTTTAGAAGGATGAGGATTAGGAGGGGGGATAGATAGAAGGGGGATAAAAAAAAAGGGAGTTATCCCTCCAAATTAATAACTAAGGGGGGTGGTATAAGGGATGAGGATTAAATTTAACGGGTAAAAGACATTTCTACCTTTAATGAAAGAGAAAGAAGAAGAGAGTGAAGAAAGGATATTAGGGTAATTTTGTATTTTTATTAGTTATTCCAATCTAATCCCAACCCATTCCCAAACAATAGAATACATTATTTTTATCCTTTTCTCATATATTAGTTCCACCTTTTTATCTCACTTAATCCCATCCTATTGTCTTGCAAAGGTAATGCTCCGTAGTTAAACTAGATACAGTACAAAAATAGATGCTCATCCATGTATATAAAAACTGTTGGTCCCAAGGATGTAAAAAGTTAGTCCATACCGCAATTATAATCAATCTTGCGGAGGAAAGGTATTACAACTTTACAAGTACGAGTACTATATTTCCTACATTCTTTATCAAGGAAGAAGGGGAGCATAAACATGTACTGTTATCAAGGAAGAATAAATTCACGCAAAGCAAAGTATGCGCTCGTGCTTCACTGCGTTCGCGATAATTTTATATTCCTCGCAAGTTTCCTAGTCAAAAAGCCTACTCCATCCTTAATCTGCAAATGCCAGTGTCTTGTGCTAGTCTAACCAAGGACTTTCTAGTTCAAAGTTCAAACCCACCGTTGCCTAAACCCTTTAATGGTCTGTCAATTGGTCAAACATCTTTTTTACTTGCAATGTTTCTCCAATCTATACTATTTGCATACTCCACTTTCAACTACATTTCACATTCTATTAATAAAGAACACGGTTATACGAGTCTTTTTAAATCAGTCTCATTATATAGTTTATTACGGAGTTAAATATATTTTTTTTAAGTTTTTACAAATACATAATCAAAGATAATAACAATCGAAATTATGCATCGATAAACATGAAAAACAAAAAAGTTACGAAGTACAAGTAAAGAAAAAAAAATCCTAAGAAGTATATTACTTTGTAAATAATGTATATGAAGTATAAAATTAACTTTGGTCAACATGGCATATATGCATAAATAATGTAAAAATCAAACTATAACACTTAATTTTCTTTTTTATACTCCGTAATCCTTACTTGTTCATTTTAAGCTAAATATAATTGAATTGAAACTAGACTAATGTAGAAAAGTAAATTAAATTGAGTTAAATTGAAAATAATTCTAAATGAACAAGGTCTTCTTACTAGTAATATTTCTAATTTTACGCTTAGTCAAATTTTGTATTCGTAAGTATGACTGTATGACAATTATCATACGATCAGATACAAAACTAGGATCAAAAGAGTACTAAACGAGAATAATCTTTCATCCGTGTAAACTTGAAATAATCTTTCATCCGTGTAAACTTGAACGCAATCGATCCTAGTTTGGCCAAGAGGCCCTATCCAATATTCATGGTAAATGAATTTCAAGTTTCATAAGTCGAAGTATGAGATCATTATTGTACGTAATAGTGTTATCAGTCTAATCATAGACTAACTTCACTGACCTTGACCCGAGATAATCTCTCTATATCCCGATTAACACACGTGGCTTCCTGTTATTGGAGGAGAAAATCTCAAGTGCACTTATAAGCTACATGCGGGACCATGAGAAGTATATACGTAACAATCATCAGACGTCAGAGATCGTCTTGTCAATTCCGATCAAATTATGAACAAACATAAAAACGTATAAAAAATTATTTTACGTGTCGAATTGATAGGATTATGTCTGCTTTTAGTGCTTTGAGATCTGAGCCAATAATAATCAATCACAATAATCGGACGGCTATAAAAAGCCTTATAAGTCGTAATGTACTGATCATCTCCTTTGACTTTCTATTCTTCCCTCCGCACCCCTTTACCATTCTGTACAAATGGCAAAATTCAAAACCTGCAAGACTAAATCAGGTCTACCAGATTTTTTCGGATCGGGCCAAAAAAATAAAAATTAAAAGCTTAAAAATGCATGACCAAGTTCCGTGGAAAACTAAAAAATTTCAGAGATAAATTTCTACCTAAGTCCGCCTAAAATTGAATCCGGGTCTAACATGATCATCATTACTAAGTAAAGCGGATAGAAAAGGATAGAGCAAATGAAGTTGTAAAAGAGAAAACTTATTAAATAAGACAATAGAAATGTAGAATAATCTCAAAAAACACCCCTAAGAAGGTGTTTGGCAAGTGGGAATGGAAATTTGGGAATTCGATGGTAGGAATGAGATTGAGAATTTAAAGCAATTCTCATATTTGGGTAGTCATGAGAATAAGTTGAGAATATACAATAAATTTACTAATATATCCTTATTAATTTTTTTTTTCCTTCTTATCATTAAGGGTAGATTCATCTTTTCATATTTAAAAAAAATTCCCTAACTTAATACCAAATTAGGGAGTTTTTTGTAAGTTGGGATAAAAATTTCAAATCCCACCCAAATTCCCTCTCACCAAACGCCCCCTAAGAAAATACAAGGCAAACAAAAAGAAAAAAGGAAATACAGAGTAGTACTTAAATAATAGGATGCTCAAACGGGCCTGATCCAAGGCCCACTTAGCTCGATGGAAAAACGCACCAACTTTCAACCAATGCTTACTAGGTTTTTTTTGCTTATATTAATATGTCAATGAAACTCTTCATTTGAACTCTGGATTTATGGGAATCCATTTTCAACAAATATCTCTTGCCATATTGGCATTTTCTCAAATCATGATATCTTTCCTTTGGGCTTTGGATATGAATTATTGGTCATATCATGATTATGATCCCCTGTGATTTTTTTTTTTCCCTTACTAATTAAGATAGAAATTATTAGATACCTACTTACCTCCGTAACCTTTTTCTCATTATAAAATTTATACATTTATATTAAGTTATTTACTATGGATTATAAATTATTTCATGCACCTTTTTTTATAAAAATTTTCTTCATATGTTTTTATCCCTAATTATGACAATTATTGCTGGCCTCCATGAATTATTTTTTTTCCACCGTGAATAGTTGATTATGTTATACAAATATTTTTTTTCATGCGCCCAATCACTTTACCTAAGATCGACCAAAATCATTAGTGAATTACTAGCATGATCTTTTTCACTCCCAATGTTATAAATCTTCATGTTCACCACAAATGCATTTATACACTTGTGTTCATGACTTGCATTAATCAAAAGGGTGAGAGTTGTTGAACACACTTACACACAAAAGATACTTCATCAAAACACATAAGCAATAAAACTGAATTTACCTCATTTACATGTAGATCAAACTCATACTCCCTCCATTAGCATGATGCATATATTAACGTTTATTCATAAAACGTAAATCTACTACTGTAATGTTATTCTATATAATATGTCGTGTACTTGTCGTATAACTTTCTTCAAATCCCTATAATTAATATAATAAACACATTACACATTTGGTCACAAGTATTTCTAGATAAACTTTAAATATCGAGAGAATATGAGGATGTTGCACAATTTGCATGATAAATACTGTCGGAAATCGACTGTTTTCTTGTATGATCTTTAGCCACAACTTTAGGCAATCTATATGAAACTTGTGGGCGTGATCGCAATCAAGTCTTCCAATAACTTCTTCGCCTGAAAGTTCAAAATATTAATTAGCTTAGTCTAAAGATCGAAAAATTATTATTAATTAATTATACCGTCTCACAATTAAAGTTCAAAATTATATTAATTAACTAACAATACTAAATATACCGTCTCACAAATCATAGGTTGAATATGATGAGAAATATTTGTAAGCAACTTATTAATTATGACTACACGATGTATAATTATTATTATTATTATGAGAATACAAAAATGTATAATATTTTCCACATATACATATGATGCTTTTGAATCTTCGATTTGAATTCTTCACTACGGCGACTTTACAAAGTCGTCTTCAGGATCGAGAGAAGACATCTCTTATTCATAAAACTTTGGTGTGCTTGGAGGACATGAAGAGGATATCATAGGCCATGTATCAAAAAACAAGGTCATTCATTCGACAAAGTGGGCATGAGTTATGTTTTCTCAGCCACGACTTTACGCATATCGTCACAATACAATTGTATATGAGATTCGATCTCAGGTCTTAGATGTCGCTGAGATCATACCAACTAACTTATTGGCATCTCCTTCATATAATTGTACTAGGACTCAACGAAATGACCGATGTGCAAAACTTTTAAATTTTCTTTCGAGGAGAAGGTCTCTCTATGGAAACTTCACCTCAGCCAGATATACGCCATTCGTCATGCCCATCTCATCCTGCAATTCAAATTATAAAATTAATTACATTGATCTAAAATTTTATTTATAAAAAAAAACAAAACAAAACATTTGAGGGTACTTGTGGAAAAAAATATTAATGCTTATATATCTTACCCCAATACTCAAATATTCAGGTAATTTACCGACTTGATGATAAGTGCATGCTTAAAATTATAAGCATCATACACTTCTTTCGTTTCCTTCTCTTCATTATTGTTGATTATGCTTACTACCTCTGTGATTTTGTGTTTTAATAATAATATGTTTTAGTGGTTTATGCTTATCAACTTATGAACTATTGTGAATGAAACTCTGAATTTGTAGGAAACCATTTTCAACAAATCTCTCTTGCCACACTGGCAGATTCCTCAATCATGATTTGTTTCCTTTGAAATATGAATTATTAGTCATATCATGATTATGATCCTTTATGATTTATTTTCCAATTAAGACAGAAGTTATTAATTACCTCTGTATATAACCTATTAAATATGAATTATTAGTCATATCATGATTATGATCTTTATGATTTTATCCCTAATTAAGATAAAATTATATTATTGGTATCCTCCATGATTTTCCTTTCATTATTTCATGCCTCAATATCTTTGATTTATTACATACAGTGTATCTTCCTGATTCCGTCCTTAATCAAGACAAAATCAAATTATTAGCTATCCATGATATTTTTTCCGTTGTTAATTTTTTAATTACAATTGTAAAGATTATTCATGTTCACCGTACCACTAATGAATATATACACCTAGGTTCATGAATCACGCCTTAAATTAATCATATTCATGAATAATATTTTGAACATATACGTACTTCATATTTTGGCAAAGCTTTTAAACATAAGCGTAAGAATTGTTGAAGATATAGAAGACAATTTAT